AATATATCATCCTGTACATCATAGTAATTAATGTCATATATATATATCATCCTGTACATCATAGTAATTAATGTCATATATATATATATATCATCCTGTACATCATAGTAATTAATGTCATATAAATATATCATCCTGTACATCATAGTAATTAATGTCATAAATATATCACAAACCTGCTGTGAAATACCAACATTTCAGACTGTCTGTTCTCAACTAAAACACACACTTGGCCACACATTGCAGCCGGATACATTTAAGAGGATAGATGCCTGTCATAGGTTTAGAAAATTCCATCATCAAGGGAAATGTCGGTGGTTTATTTTACACAGCTGACATCTTCAACTGATTACCTTGTGTAGGACAATTTATAAGGTTTACATGGAAATTCTGCACTGGTCACAGGTAGTTTTCATAACCAGACTGAAACTGCAATAAGTGAATAAGGGGGTCATGTATACAATGTTAGGATCCCTTCAACAGTCTCTAAGTAATAGCAGAAACAAACTTATTAGGACATGTAGATTTCAGTAATTTCACATTTCCAATCCATCTCCAGTCAGAACATGCACAACTATGGGGGATTGTGCTTAAAAAGTGTGTGATCCCTTACACTAGTTTCTGATAATTAGCTATAACAACAGCTGTTTACAGGCAGACTGGCCGAATGTTTAACTGACTTAGAATGGACGCCAGAAAGCAAGCAAAACTAAATTCAACTTCCTTCCATCTAATGATGGTGGGCTAAAAATGCTACTGATGATTTAGAGACATACAAATCGTCTATTGTCTAGACAACATTCAAATAATCCAATGAAATATTCCAGGGAAGGAGATGAGAAACTGAGGGACCAATTGGATTTCTACTGACTTTATTGTGTTGATCATGAGCATATAATAATTACAAGATACAACATTACCTTGAAAAAGTTGAGCTTGTTTGAAATTTTCATACTCATAGCAAGGAGTTTGTAGAATCCACTGACCAAAGGGTTACTGCAAAAATTAAATAAAAGCAAGTCATAACACTGAAAATTGTTTGTATGAGCAGAATATAATGTTTAAAACTTGAAAATTCATTACATTTTGTCTTCCATTCAAATAGTTAAAAAAATGAAATGTACATAAATGTGTTACTTACTCAGTTGAACAAAGAATGACTTTGTGACAGAATGTAAACATCCACTTCTCAAACAGTTCAAAGTGGACAGTTGGCAGCAGGTCTCTGTAAATAACAGCAAACTGAGTATAACAATGTCTGTAAATTAAAATGATGGGAACTTCACATAAATATTCGCCCTACCCTCATAAAGTGGTCAATTGTGACCTTTGACCCTTTAACCTTGACCAATGACAACCAATATCTAACCAAGTGTAGGAGTTGATGTTAACATACAACAGTTATATAAACTAAATCTGATGAGGTTTTCATGAGTTATCTAATACAAAATGTTTTTAAAAAGTGGTCAATTAACCTGGACCAATGACCAAACCAATCTAATCAGGTGTAGAACTCATTGTTTCCTTACTATGGTGTAAATATAAACTTAATATTGTACAAAAGCCTTTTACTATGGACAGACAGATAGATAGAGGGACGGACAGATGCACTGACACACTTCCTATTGATCACTTTAAACCCCTCTCTACTAAGTGAAGGTATAACAACATTATGTTGTGTTGAACAATATGTCTGTAAACAATGACCTAACCGCCTTAAATACAATTAGCACCTACAGCAGTGTTACAGTAACAGTTGTACTAAGACATATACACATAAATAGAAGGAAGCAGAAACACAAAGCTCCTGTCTAGATGCAATCAAATAAATACACATGTATACAGTGCAAGAGTGCATGTTGGGAAGTGAAACAGCATAATGGAAAATCTAATGTGGCAAAAAGTAAACCAACCCCAGCCTAGTTCTGTTGAATAGGCAAATTCCCCTAAGCATCATGTATAGGAACACTGACCTGCAGAAGTCAACAAGGTTGATAAAGACTTGGTGATCTTTCGGCCTGTTAGGTTGTATGCCCTGAGTGGGGTCACCAGTGACCCCTCCCTCCTCCAGCCCCTCACCGCTAGCCCCTGCCTTGCTGTTTTGGTCAGACTGAACAGCAATACCAGTATATCTCTTAATTAAATTCTGATATGCTACTGTAGAACCACTGCAATCAATTAAAGTAAATAAGCTTTGCTATGTTTAAAGTCAAAGCAATTGATGATTCTAATTTTCATTGATTTTTTGCATGTGTCATATTTGAAGAAACATTTGTTATTTTGATAAGAAAGTTTACACCTCACCTGTGAGGAGAGCTCAGATGTTGAGGTTGAAGTGAGATCAAGCTTGCACAGAATCTTTAATACACATGCGATCAGTTCATCATACAGAACCTCTGTGAGGCGGTGTCTTACATCTAGACTTATGTCAGCAACGGAGAAATCCTACAACAAAACAAAAAGATACACAGTGCCAGGATCATACAGAACCTCTGTGAAGCGGCGTCTTACATCTAGACTTATGTCAGCAACAGAGAAATCCTACAACAAAACAAAAAGATACACAGTGCCAGGATCATACAGAACCTCTGTGAGGCGGTGTCTTATATCTAGACTTATGTCAGCACATAGAAATCCTACAACAAAACAAAAAGATACACAGTGCCAGGATCTAAGACATACATGACTTGACAATAGTATATGTCTGACCTAGATCCTGACACAGTTACAAATTCTGACCTAGACCATAATGTAATATCATATTATAAAGTCAGACTTGATCCTGGTACTGTTACATCGTAAAGTCTTACTTGGTCCTGGCACTGTTACAATGTTAAGTCTTACTTGGTCCTGACACTGATACAATGTAACGTCTTACTTGGTCCTGACACTGATACAATGTAAAGTCTTACTTGATCCTGGCACTGTTACATTATGAAGTCTTACTTGATCCTGGCACTGTTACATTGTTAAATCTTACTTGATCCTGGCACTGTTACATCGTAAAGTCTTACTTGGTCCTGACACTGTTACATTATGAAGTCTTACTTGATCCTGGCACTGTTACATTGTTAAATCTTACTTGATCCTGGCACTGTTACATTGTGAAGTCTTACTTGGTCCTGGCACTGTTACATCGTAAAGTCTTGGTTTTATCCTGGCACTGTTACAATGTAAAGTCTTACTTGATCCTGGCACTGTTACATTGTAAAGTCTTACTTGGTCCTGGCACAGTAACAATGAAAGTCTTACTTGGTCCTGGCACTGTTACATCGTAAAGTCTTGGTTTTATCCTGGCACTGTTACAATGTAAAGTCTTACTTGATCCTGGCACTGTTACATTGTAAAGTCTTACTTGGTCCTGGCACAGTAACAAAGAAAGTCTTACTTGATCCTGGCACTGTTACTTTGTTAGGCTTACTTGGTCCTGACACTGTTACAATGAAAGTTTTACTTGATCCTGGCACTGTTACAATGTAAAATCTTACTTGGTGCTAGCACTGTAACAATGAAAGTCTTACTTGGTCCTGACACTGGTACAATGTAAAGTCTTACTTGGTCCTGACACTGATACAATGTAAAGTCTTACTTGATCCTGGCACTGTTACAATGTAACGTCTTACTTGGTCCTGACACTGATACAATGTAAAGTCTTACTTGGTCCTGGCACTGATACAATGAAAGTCTTACTTGATCCTGGCACTGTTACATTGTTAAATCTTACTTGATCCTGACACTGTTACAATGAAAGTTTTACTTGATCCTGGCACTGTTACAATGTAAAATCTTACTTGGTCCTAGCACTGTAACAATGAAAGTCTTACTTGGTCCTGACACTGTTACATTGTTAAATCTTACTTGATCCTGACACTGTAACAATGAAAGTCTTACTTGGTCCTGACACTGTTACAATGAAAGTCTTACTTGATCCTGGCACTGTTACAATGTAAAATCTTACTTGGTCCTGGCACTGTAACAATGAAAGTCTTACTTGATCCTGGCACTGTTACATTGTTAAGTCTTACTAAAGACTTACCTTGATCCTGGCACTGTTACCTTTTTTTTTTACTTATTTTTAAAATGTTACACTTTGAAGTCTTACTAAAGACTTACCTTGATCCTGGCACTGTTACATTTTGAAGTCTTACTAAAGACTTACCTTGATCCTGGCACTGTTACATTGTTAAGTCTTACTAAAGACTTACCTTGGTCCTGGCACTGTTACATTGTTAAGTCTTACTAAAGACTTACCTTGATCCTGGCACTGTTCAAGAGGCCTGTCCACAATGATATGTAGTCCTTATATGTGATCTTCCTCACCATGACTCCCTCTGGCTGTGGATTGGTAGATTCTTCAGTCTGCTCAAGTTCTACCACAGGAGGGTGTGAGCAGGTCCTGATCAGGCCCTGGAATACTACAGTCCAGGCACAAGTTATTATACTGTGAACAATTTGATGAAAAGTTTCACTACAAAGAAACATAAAGTTTTCCAATATTTGACATATCACTTATATTTACTGTATATCACTTATTTTTACTGTATAGCACTTATATTTACTGTATAGCACATATATTTACTGTATATCACTTATATTTACTGTATATCACTTATTTTTACTGTATATCACTTATATTTACTGTATATCACTTATATTTACTGTATAGCACATATATTGGTATAGCACTTATATTTACTGTATAGCACTTATATTTACTGTATAGCACTTTTATTTACTGTATAGCACATATATTATTATATAAACTTTATAAAGCTTACCTATGATAGAGGTTTAATTTCAACTATATTCTAGGCATGATCATAAGTATATATTGCCTTTATGATATAGCACTGTTTAGGACTGGTCCTACGTTTCCTACTTTTCATATTTTTTCTGGTGTTTTTTTTACTAACCCCAATTTTGAATAATGAAGACTGTTTCAGGAAAGTGTCTCTGACATGACTTAGATTCAATTTTGCACCAAAAGAAGGATCAATAGAACAAAATTAATTACATTGACGGAAGAATCACAAAGGAAAACTCACCAACCTTAATGTGACTATAAGTGTTCTAAATATGTATGTAAGTAATAAATGAGTGAACTGCTGAAATGTGGTTATACTACCTGAATATCACTTACATATAATAGCACAGACCTGCTGAAATGTGGCTGTATCTTACTACACCAGGACTGACCTGCTGGGATGTGGTTGTATTTGACTACACTAGAACTGACCTGCTGGGATGTGATTGCATTTGACTACACCAAGACTAACCTGCTGGGATGTGGTTGTATTTGACTACACCAGGACTGACCTGCTGTCATGTGGTTGTATCTTACTACACCAGGACTGACCTGCTGGGATGTGGTTGAATTTGACTACACTAGAACTGACCTGCTGGGATGTGGTTGTATTTGACTACACCAGGACTAACCTGCTGGAGTGTGGTTGTATCTTACTACACCAGGACTGACTTGCTGGAGTGTGGTTGTATTTGACTACAACAGGACTGACCTGCTGGGATGTGGTTGTATTTGACTACACTAGGACTGACCTGCTGGGATGTGGTTGTATCTTACTACACCAGGACTGACCTGTTGAAATGTGGTTGTATTTGACTACACCAGAACTGACCTGCTGGGATGTGGTTGTATCTTACTACACCAGGCCTGACCTGCTGGGATGTGGTTGTATCGGACTACACCTGGACTGACCTGCTGGAATGTGGTTGTATTTGACTACAACAGGACTGACCTGCTGGGATGTTGGTGTATCTTACTACACCAGGACTGACCTTTTGCAATGTGGTTGTATTTGACTACACCAGAACTGGCCTGCTGGGATGTGGTTGTATCTTACTCCACCAGGACTGACCTGCTGGGATGTGGCTGTATTGGACTACACCAGGACTGACCTGCTGGGGTGTGGTTGAATTGGACTACACCAGGACTGACCTGCTGGCATGTGGTTGTATCTTACTACACCAGAACTGACCTGCTGGGATGTGGTTGCATATGACTACACCAGGACTGACCTGCTGAGATGTGGTTGTATCGGACTGCACCAGGACTGATCTGCTGGGATGTGGTTGTATCTTACTACGCCAGGACTGACCTGCTGGAGTGTGGTTGTATATTACTACACCAGGACTGACCTGCTGGGGTGTGGTTGAATTGGACTACACCAGGACTGACCTGCTGGGGTGTGGTTGAATTGGACTACACCAGGACTGACCTGCTGGGGTGTGGTTGTATTTGACTACACCAGGACTAACCTGCTGGAGTGTGGTTGTATCTTACTACACCAGGCCTGACCTGCTGGGATGTGGTTGTATTAGACTACACCAGGACTGACCTGCTGGGGTGTGGTTGAATTGGACTACACCAGGACTGACCTGCTGGAGTGTGGTTGTATATTACTACACCAGGACTGACCTGCTGGGGTGTGGTTGAATTGGACTACACCAGGACTGACCTGCTGGGGTGTGGTTGTATTTGACTACACCAGGACTAACCTGCTGGAGTGTGGTTGTATCTTACTACACCAGGCCTGACCTGCTGGGATGTGGTTGTATCGGACTACACCAGAACTGACCTGCTGGGATGTGGTTGTATATTACTACACCAGGACTGACCTGCTGGGGTGTGGTTGAATTGGACTACACCAGGACTGACCTGCTGGGATGTGGTTGTATTTGACTACACCAGGACTGAGCTGCTGGAGTGTGGTTGTATTTGACTACACCAGGACTGACCTGCTGGGGTGTGGTTGAATTGGACTACACCAGGACTTAGCTGCTGGAGTGTGGTTGTATTTAACTACACCAGGACTCACCTGCTGGGATGTGGCTGTATTGGACTACACCAGGACTTACCTGCTGGGATGAGGTTGTATCTTATTACACCAGGACTGACCTGCGGGGATGTGGTTGTATTGGACTACACCAGGACTGGCCTGCTGGGATGTGGTTGTATCTTACTACACCAGGACTGACCTGTTTGAGTGTGGTTGTATTTGACTACACCAGGACTAACCTGCTGGAATATTGATTTACTTACCTACACCCGACATTATTTGCTGGAAAGTTGTTCCCTTAGGCATCACGGCCAGGAGCAGCCAGAGTATGGACTTCAGACAGATAAAGGAGAGAGTCTGTGGTAGGGAAGGTAGCTTCTCAATCAACAGCACCAACAGTCGTTCCAGAGAAATGGCATAGGTCTCTGAAATCTGATGCGAGGGAACACAGCTTTTTGAATATAAATGAACTAGACCATGTTTAATAGATACGAAGGCCTCACCTGGTGCATATATTTTCCCTGTCAAGTTTGGTGTGGGTGTGGGACCCTTAAAAATGAAGTTAATTAATAAACATCTGTTTTCTGAGTGCAATCCAAATCAGGAAAATGAAGAAGATGGTAGAATAATAAGAAAGATTTTTTTGTATTGACAATAATTTAACAGCAACCTTGAATTTGGATCTATGACCCTGACAAGCAAACTCATTTGAGGTATCTGTGTTCTGAATATTTATATAAAGTTTCTTAAAAATGAAATATAAATGGTAGAACAATGATGGACAGATAGACATGTTTAACACTATATAGTCCCCTACCCCATTTCATGATATGAGTATGTAGTCTGCTGGTACATTTTAAACTCAGTATAACAATTTTCTTTATGATGAGATCTAATCCATATATCAGTTTTTATGCCAAATAAGGGGATCAGGGGAGGTAATCTTTAACCCCTCAACAAACATTTGTGTCAGGGGAGGTAATCTATAACCCCCAAAATAACATATGTCTCGGGGGGGGTGGGTGTAATCTATAAACCCCTTTATAATATATGTCGGGGAGGTAATCTATAACTCCCTAAATAATATATGACAGGGGATGTAATCTAACTCCCTAAACAATGTATGTCAGGGGAGGTAATCTATAACCCCCTAAATAACTTTTATGTCAGGGGAGATAATCTATAACTCCCTAAATAGTACATGTCAGTGGAGGTTATCTATAACCCCCTAAATAATTTGTAACGGGGGATGTATTACCCTATGACCCTCAATACAATGATTGGTAATCAGGGGAGGTAATCTATAACTTAAATCACATGTCAGAGGAGGTAATCTATAACTTAAATAACATGACAGGGGAGGTAATCTATAACTCCTTAAATACAATGCAATGGTAATGAGAGGGAATATTTAACCCCTAAATAGCATGTCAGGGGAGGTAATCTATAACCCATCAATATTCAATATGTATTTATGTCATCAATAGCACATATTTGTGTCCCAGAGTGATAATCTATAACCCCTTAGTTACATATTTGTGTCAGGGGAGATAATCTTTAACCCATCAATATCACAGTTGTGTCAGGGGAGATAATCTATGTTACATATCAATAAGGCCAAATAAAATTAATTACTTGGTTCTCAGGCCAATTTTTTTCAAAATAGATGCGGCAGGGCGGTATTTATTTTTTCATTTTACATGGCAAAAACGAGAAGAGGGCGATTTTTTTTTTATTGTGTAGTATGTAAAACGTTCATTGTGGGCATTACCTTGTCTTTTTATAGTTGTGTAGAGACCCGTCATAGAGCAAGCCTCCGAAAATCCCCCCACAATGTTCCAGACGAGAATCGCAAACCCCCCATTCCTTATTTGTACCAAAATGAGCGCCATTTGTACACAAGACTAATAAGTCATAATCAGTTTAACGCTTGCCTGTATCTCAATCCTTATCTTTATTCAAACATTTTCAGGACTTGGGTGACTAACAAGTAAAAACGTCATGCGGACCAATTTTCCGGATTTTTTTAAAGATGGCGCATTCACAATTTTTTTTTTATTACTTTCACGATAAAATCGGCAATGCGCACGGTGCCATGAAATGCGCGCGGGCCTGAGAACCAAGTTATCAATTTTTTTTGGTCTAACATGAAATATTTTGTGAGGGAATTTAAGATAAATATACCTCATCCAGCTGTTTGATGATGTTACCAAGGGCCTCCAGATAACTAGGCAAATTAAACAGCCTCTCCTCCAGGTTTTCATCTTGACTTTAACACAGGAAATCCAAGGATATTAACTGTTATACCATGTAGCTTATTTGGTAATCAACAAACTCAAAACTTCAAAATATAAAAAGACTTTGGGAGACATTGCTTTAAATTGTTGTTTAATTAGTGCACTAAAACAGAAAACGAATTGCAAAATTAATCAATACATGCAAGTTTTATCAACATAGTCGCCTTCCATTTCAGTTAAAAGAAAATATTGTCTGATAAAAACTTTAGCTGCAGAATGTTTTTACCTGAGAAACTGCTGTTCACTTTTCGACATCATCTCGCTGAACATGAACTGTACATCTGCTTGCTTAAGGAATGTCTTGCATGGCTGAAATAAAGTATTTAACACAGATCTAGTACTGTAATGGAACTTAACTGACTAGACAACCTTATATCAATAACAGTAACTTAATGATGAAACAATAATACTGACTTAATTATAACAGTGTCTAGCATTTTGATAGCTTCTAAGCCAAGAAATCGAAAATAAAAGTTTGAAACTTACTCACATAATGGTTTACAAATTCTGCTTTAAGTGTTATCTTTCTTCACTTTATGTCATTTCATACTTCTTAATTCTATGTTTTTACTAAGCATGGATCATTTCATTTCGAGAATAGTTCAACTTGATTGAACTGTTTGATTGATAACCTTGTAGTACTTTATTTAAGGACTGCATGCATCCTATCAACGTTAATGATGATGTAAAACAAAGTTCCCTACATAGATTCTCAATAATGAACAGTAATGCATCATGTTCGAATGAAATTGTTTTTCATATGATCAAAATTTTGAGTTAATCTTTACATTAACTTTCAAAACAAAAGATAACATTACATTATGATTCTGTATTGTTTCTTGAATCATGATACATGTTAAACAAACTTTTACCAATTGATGGAATAGCCCTTTTTGTAAGAATAAAGTCATGTTTTCTATAGGTACCATATCACTCAGGTGACATTAACGTGAGTTGGAAGGTTTATTTTGAAATATATTTATATATATGATCAAAACAAGATCGTGACTTTCTGCACACAGTAAGGTTTAAATTTTTGAGTGCATTCAAAATTTAGTGTTTTGCACCCATGATAATGAGGAAATACTAAACTCAAAGCCTACATACAGCAGCCAGAAGCCCGTAGCCCCGTATGGCCAAGGACACTTCCTTGGCACTAGTTGAGGTGTCATTCATTAATGTCCGGAACTCCTGTATGAAGAACTGAAAAAAAACAAAAAAAACATGCATCATCAGTAGCAAAGGTAACACACCTGTTTTTTGTGATTGCTAGGATAATTGGCTACAGTATGACTTCTGCTCCTTTGGCTAATGGTGGCCACAGATTTGTGTCCAGATGAATTTTCACAAATGTGATAAATATACTGTATTTTGTTAAATCACTTGTAACAAAACAATCAACACGCAATCACTTAAACACCCCGACTCTGTAATATATGAATTAACTGTCGAAGTAATGAATCAGATTAATTAACTGTCCAACAGCAGATTTCACTTTACAAAAAATTCCATTTCTGACTTGCTAACATATTTAAATAAGTATAAAACGGAACACCCATATACACGGAAAAATATTTAGCAACAACATAAAACTAAACTGTGTTCTACCTTGAAGACAGCTCCCTCCTTGTGACCTTCCTCAGCTCTGGTCACCAGCATCTCTGATACCTGAACAATGACAAAGCACCAAATAACAGTGTAATATTACTGAATCTAATGTTCTTGTTGAATTAATAAAACTAACCAGAAGTTTAAGATGGAAAATTTACACTTAACTGTAATAAATAAATACATCAAACAAATATTCAAAAATTTCACACTAAATCAACAAAAAATGAAAAGTTTTGCTTCAAGTTGTTAATAGTTCAGAGTAAGAAAACAAAATCCTGAAGGTCACCATAAGGTAATACTGACCTGTCCCAAGAAAGCCTCCATGGCGGACATTCCCAAGTGTAGCATGTCACGGTTGTGGTGGTGACTCCAGTGACGCAGCTTATCATACATCCCCTGTCAAACACATTATTATAGTAACAATTCAATACACTATCACAGACATTAGTAGGGTTATACAGATTGGACTGTGTTCTATGCTGCCTACCTGGTAGTCCTCAATGAGATACAGGCTGAACTGTGTTATACTACCTACCTGGTAGTCCTCAATGGGATACAGACTGAACTGTGTTATACTACCTACCTGGTAGTCCTCAATGGGATACAGGCTGAACTGTGTTATACTACCTACCTGGTAGTCCTCAATGAGATACAGGCTGAACTGTGTTATACTACCTACCTGGTAGTCCTCAATGAGATACAGGCTGAACTGTGTTATACTACCTACCTGGTAGTCCTCAATGAGATACAGGCTGAACTGTGTTATACTACCTACCTGGTAGTCCTCAATGAGATACAGGCTGAACTGTGTTATACTACCTACCTGGTAGTCCTCAATGAGATACAGGCTGAACTGTGTTATACTACCTACCTGGTAGTCCTCAATGAGATACAGGCTGAACTGTGTTATACTACCTACCTGGTAGTCCTCAATGAGATACAGGCTGAACTGTGTTATACTACCTACCTGGTAGTCCTCAATGAGATACAGGCTGAACTGTGTTATACTACCTACCTGGTAGTCCTCAATGAGATACAGGCTGAACTGTGTTATACTACCTACCTGGTAGTCCTCAATGAGATACAGGCTGAACTGTGTTATACTACCTACCTGGTAGTCCTCAATGAGATACAGGCTGAACTGTGTTATACTACCTACCTGGTAGTCCTCAATGAGATACAGGCTGAACTGTGTTATACTACCTACCTGGTAGTCCTCAATGAGATACAGGCTGAACTGTGTTATACTACCTACCTGGTAGTCCTCAATGAGATACAGGCTGAACTGTGTTATACTACCTACCTGGTAGTCCTCAATGAGATACAGGCTGAACTGTGTTATACTACCTACCTGGTAGTCCTCAATGAGATACAGGCTGAACTGTGTTATACTACCTACCTGGTAGTCCTCAATGAGATACAGGCTGAACTGTGTTATACTACCTACCTGGTAGTCCTCAATGAGATACAGGCTGAACTGTGTTATACTACCTACCTGGTAGTCCTCAATGAGATACAGGCTGAACTGTGTTATACTACCTACCTGGTAGTCCTCAATGAGATACAGGCTGAACTGTGTTATACTACCTACCTGGTAGTCCTCAATGAGATACAGGCTGAACTGTGTTATACTACCTACCTGGTAGTCCTCAATGAGATACAGGCTGAACTGTGTTATACTACCTACCTGGTAGTCCTCAATGAGATACAGGCTGAACTGTGTTATACTACCTACCTGGTAGTCCTCAATGAGATACAGGCTGAACTGTGTTATACTACCTACCTGGTAGTCCTCAATGAGATACAGGCTGAACTGTGTTATACTACCTACCTGGTAGTCCTCAATGAGATACAGGCTGAACTGTGATATACTACCTACCTGGTAGTCCTCAATGAGATACAGGCTGAACTGTGATATACTACCTACCTGGTAGTCCTCAATGAGATACAGGCTGAACTGTGATATACTACCTACCTGGTAGTCCTCAATGAGATACAGGCTGAACTGTGATATACTACCTACCTGGTAGTCCTCAATGAGATACAGGCTGAACTGTGATATACTACCTACCTGGTAGTCCTCAATGAGATACAGGCTGAACTGTGATATACTACCTACCTGGTAGTCCTCAATGAGATACAGGCTGAACTGTGATATACTACCTACCTGGTAGTCCTCAATGAGATACAGGCTGAACTGTGATATACTACCTACCTGGTAGTCCTCAATGAGATACAGGCTGAACTGTGATATACTACCTACCTGGTAGTCCTCAATGAGATACAGGCTGAACTGTGATATACTACCTACCTGGTAGTCCTCAATGAGATACAGGCTGAACTGTGATATACTACCTACCTGGTAGTCCTCAATGAGATACAGGCTGAACTGTGATATACTACCTACCTGGTAGTCCTCAATGAGATACAGGCTGAACTGTGCGGCATGCTTAGTAAACAACTTGAGACCAGCACTAGGCACTTGGTAACGGGTGTAGTCTACCTTTGGATCTATGGCCATCCGAGCATATTTAAATATCTCGTACGACTGTTTGGACCCTGAAATGATGTCAACCCAATGATAGATATATTAACAAGTATACTTGGTCATTTTCATTTTGGGAATAATGATTGAACCATTTATAAAATAACCAAACTAAACATAAACTATTACATGACTCTAACCAATAGCATTTAGTTAACAGATACCCAACCATTATTCTTGCTTAAATGATATGGCCAAAGGTTAAAATACAGATGCTATTATAATTTCCCTTATAACACTAAGCTAAACACAGTCAGTGTGGATATATTTATACATGATTTGATAATTAAGCTATTTTTCCCCAGGACAAAGATCTACATGATTTCTTACTGTCATCAGCAGACTGGGTGAAGTTGACCAGACAGGAAGTCAGACCAGCTAGACTGCCCGCTATGATGGACAACTCTGCCTTCCTTGTTTTTGCAGTCATCTGACAATAAACATTACATTTGAAATTTCTACCTATTTCATTACATGTGTCTTAATAATTTGATATTTGTACTATTCTGTTCATTGAAAACATTTTTTTTTTTACAAAATTATGTTTTTCTAAGAATTATCATTACCCTATCTAGAATACAGTTGTTTGCACCAACTGTGTATGTACTTGTCCAGAAGTCTGATGTATGACACCAGTGTTCTGTTAATTACTAGAACTGAAATGTATTCACAGCCAATCAATTTGATTCTAGTTGTACCTGGTACAGATCTGATTATAGTGGTGCACTACCTCTCACACAACAATGGAAATGATGTCATAATTAATTACTTGCACCGATATGGCCATTGACCTACACAGTAAGCAATACTTCACAATGCATTTATTTACTCATTTCAACAAGAGTAACAGCAGAGGGAACATAGGATATGTAAACCTCATTCCCAGTCATAGAGTCTATCTGGATCCTTTCCTTTATATTTAGAGCACTCTTTAATTATTGAATTTTTTAAATATTTTTTTTAGTCAATGGAGACCTTATTTTCCAGTTCCTCTAACATTTTAAAATTTTGTGAAATGGTTTTTAATGACAAGAATTCAACTTCTTTACATATCTGTGCAAATGTAAATGTCACATGACGCTATCAATGATCTTTGAAGTGTACATGAAAGAAGCCTTGTGATTCCATTAACATTTAAATCTAACAGTAAGTACAAAAAGGCTACATGTCTGCAGAAGATGGATCTATGTCGGAAAGGTCAGTTGAAGGTCAAACGCAATCATGCTAAGGAATTCATACCCAATTGACACAGAATCTAAGGAAAGGTCATCTTTGTAACAAAATCACAAAGCACTCCATATGATTTTCATACTTGTACTTCATTAAAAACCTGAATATCCAGTCAATTTTTTAATCACTCATATCACAAATATTCCCAATGATCTGAAAATTTCAAAAACAGATGGGAAATATCACAGCTTTCCTTTCTACACAAACAATGTATATGTAATAATCACAACGTTTCAAGACCAACTGGTCCCTTATATTAGTCATAGCTTGACAAAAGGATTAGTCAGTCTTGAAACGATGTGACACATTTAATACGTATAGTGTTTGTGTAGAAAGTAAAACTGTGACATTACATCTTTCCAAAATGATGCATTTTATTGAAAACTTAGGGGAAAATCCATGATTTTTGTAAAGTTACCTCAGTTTTTAGTGATGTTACACACAGCCCTGTGAATCTCTCAGCATAGCTAGTCATGTGTTCTGGGTACACCTCAGCCACAACCCCTAGCAGCACGAATATGTTCTCTTTCACTGAAACCAAATAACACTCAATGTAACTTTTGATTTAATGAATACTAAGATCACACTTTCTATCAACTTAAAAGAAACAGCTGACAATTTTTATTTTTACTCAGACTAAATCCTCTAATTCAATATTTCTAATGAGCCTAATTTAGCATTACACACAGTTCTTCGAGTCATATCTTAATACATAAAGAATACATATATTAATCTCAGTGTAAACTGAACTTTCAGCATCACACCTCTGATCTAGTTATTTATCCATACACTCTGAATATCTAAATCAAATTGTTAGACTGTAACTGAGAAGGGTACCTGTGCTATTTGGTTTAGTGCTCTATAGGTTTTCCCTTGTATTCTGCATCAATGATCGTTTACATAGACCAGAGAAAACATTCAGACCCAATGTATATAATTGATACCTGTGGAAGACACCTTTGACCCTTTAGTGAGCTCCATGAAAAATTTTTCAATCAGTTTTGGGATGTTGAGGTCCTTTCCAATGTTGGTCCCAGCTGTCAGCTCCAACAACTGAAACAAAGATTTGCCACGGTGTTGCGCATGCCATAACAGGAAGGATAACATTTTTATCAAAATCAATTTACGTCATCAAAAAACAAAAACAAAGACATGGTAAAATGTTAAGTCCTTTTTTAGAAAATACTTAGAAGATTCCAGAATATACCTGGACAAAATTTGCTGTCTTCATGAGATTGAAAATTGGATTGAAAAAAATTAACATGATTATTATGAATGTCTGCAATGGTTAATTGTCTCAAATAACTCCACATCACCACTACACCACAAAACATCACCTTAGCCAAAACAGGAACAGCTCCGTTCTTGACTTTGGCAAACCGGTCACGGAAAAATAAGGAGACACACACATCCTGTCAAAAAAGAAATAAATTTGATACTAAGCAACATTATCCACTGTCCTACAGAATACATAAACTTACATGTAAATATTACCACATTTAATTTAGTCTATCACTATCATCCTGCGGGTCAAACCCAGAAATTGAGTTAATTGCAGTTTAAAATAACCTGAAGGTCTGTTAAGTAAGATACTTTTTTTTAAAGAGAACAATAATAGGCGGTCTATTGTTTTAATGTTATATCATAAACAATTAATACTATCTTTATCATTATTTAACAAATATTTGAAAGTAATATAAATGAAGTAAACAATGTCAAAATCTGTTATTCCCTCCGAGTTTACTCATACCTTTATGTCCACTGTGTAAGGCAGGATTTTCTTCTCAACCTTTTGTATAAATCCAGACAACAGCTCCAGTAGCTTTTGTTTACAGCCAAGGAACTGACCAAATGCAAAGCTTGAGTCAGTATAATCTATATTCTCAGAGACAGGTACTTACAAGTGCAATTATGCAGTTAAAGGAAGCACCTGTATATCTCTTCTAGTTTTGATTCCATTTTAACCATAAAAGATGACTATAAATCAATGAGATCAGAATAATATAATATATAATATTGTCTAGGAAGGACCTCTGATTAAAACTAAATGGTATGCAACACTTAATATGGTTCTTAAAATACTAATTATCATGTCAAACATTGATAACTTTACTTTCTGTTCAATCTAATCTTTTGTCATGATCAGAATATAATGAACCAGCAGTTCACAACGTGAACTAAAACGTTTGGTGTGTTCATAGTACATGTGTATAATATTAATAGCCTAAAGCATATAATGTTACACAATTAACTTCAGAAGTGAGCAAAAACACATCACTTGGTCCATTTACAATGTAACTCAATATACAATACTGTACACAAGAAAAGTTTTGCTGCATCAAATACTCTAGATCTACTTTCACCTGTGAAATGCTTATTTACCCAATGCTAATAGTGCCCTTCTCATATAATTACAATATCTGGCATCATGGTGAGAGCAAAATCCAATAATGAAACTGCATCGAAAATTTCTTGATATACAGTATGTATTGCATACCTCATCTTTGTTGACTGTCTTGTTCAGAAACGTTATGATTCCCTTGTCTTTGTCAAACAATGCTGAACAGCAGAGATCTGTAAAACATGGATACTAGTCATATTAATATTCTTATATACAGTGAAGGGCTACTTTTTGTCAATCCAATAGTAAAGACTTTTGAATATTTTTCTCGACTCATTCTACAGAATTGCTCATTCCACAGAATTTTTAAATAAGTAATTGGTGTTAGTGTTTTAGCTGAAGAAGCTATAACAATGTTTTATAGATTTTTGTTCATGTGATCGTGTTACAGTTGGACATGCATATCAGATGACAATGTGGATGTCTGTCACTTTATTGTCTTATGCAAAGCAACACTGGGCTCAGTGTTAGTGAAGCATACTTGTAGATTTTTGATGTTTATATTCTTGCTCCCCTCAACTGATCCTTTGTATATACAGTTGTGTGACCACACAACGCACCAAAAATAGCTTGCGCACATCGTCCACACATGGTGCGCACAACTGTGCAGTTTCACAATTGTTTGCCCCGTTGTGTGCTTCACTCCGCCCAACTGTGCGATTTGGTACAATTTGTTGATCAATATTACGGAATTGAAAATCATACGGAAGCTTAAGGCTTGTATGCAGTAATGTACACTGTATATATTAATTTCTCATCACAATAATTAAGATTACTGTATGTACAGTTTTATCATGCATGTTACACAATATTACAGTGACCATTAGACTGTCAGGAATGGGTTTGGCTATAGGTAAATAACAATTTGATAAATGACTGGAGTTTTACCTAGCTTGTGCCTGACACAGGGAGCTGATATTGGATACCGAATGACTGTTATGAAAACATAACCGGAATTTAGTATTTGTTAGTTGCATTCGGTTTGGTCTATAGCTCCCCTTCACCTGGATTTCCACACCTCGTCGAGTTACGTAAGTGCCCCGGATGAGGAAAACTACGGTTCAGGTACGTACCTGTACAAAGTGGCTATGTTTACCTGTATATGGGACCAACTCCATATTTGTTGTAATTTTACATGTGTCAATTTAGGTCGTTTCTTAACACAATCTCTGAATTTAAGAAAGTATAGATAGAAAGATGAAGCTAGATTATAGAAATATAATTACAAAATCAAGTTTATATGTTTAAACACCAAACCAGCATATATATTGTAAAGTCATTCCTCTATTTACACCAACCACGATAGTTATCGCACTATGATCATCCATCGTCCGCACAATTGTACGCAAGTAATGATCGTCCAGATTCTTATCGTTCGCACATCGTGCCCACATCGTTCACACCGCACATCGTGTAAGGTTGTGCGATCCCACAACTGTAGGTCATTGGGCATTCACTGTCAATTAAGTGAATCTCAGGTGAGCGAATACTATTTATATATAGAATGCACTTTTTCCTGATAATGGAACTGCATTTAATTTATTTGAAACAAGGCGTGTATATCTTTAGTGCACTCGCATGTTTGTTTAAACTGAACCATGTGAACTTGTTTTAGGAATCGAGCTCAAACCTCTTTTTGGCGACCTTCGATTGGTGTTTTCATTCTAGTTTTTCTCTGTAAAGCAGGTCACTTTTGTTCCCTGTAAGTTGTAACCAGAAAAAAGTCACAAACGAGGGAATTCATCATTCTAGGGATGACCTACAACCTGCTTAAGCCGCCCCAACTCCGCCCACCTTTTCCTCTTTTCTACAAACTTGCTTAGCTTGCACATCAATACACACTCTGACACGGGCGCGTCTAATTACCCAATACTACCCAATACCACCCAATACTACCCAATACTACCCCATACGACCCAATAATGAACCAAATACTTCTTTATTATTGTGAAATAACACCTTTGTAGACGTTATTTCCTTCCATCTGCCATATTTTATCGGGAAATATGCGATTTGGTGCCGAAAACATCACCGAATTGCCGTGACTATGACCCAATACTACCCCATACCACCCAATACTACCCCATACGACCCAATTATGAACCAAATACTTCTTTATTACTGTGAAATATCACATTTGTAGACGTTATTTACTTCCATCTGCCATATTTTTTCGGGAAATATGCGATTTGGTGCCGAAAACATCACCGAATTGCCGTGACTATGACCCAATACTACCCCATACCACGGAATTAGATTAGATCTAAGTCCGTGCCCATACCACCCAATACTACCCAATACTACCCCATACGATCCAGTTATGAACCAAATACTTCTTTATTACTGTGAAATGTTACAGTTATTTACTTCTATGGGTCACATTCTATCTGGAAATATGCCATTTGGTGCAGAAAACATCACCGAAATGCCGTGACTAGGGGTTCGACAATTTACAGGAACGGGCAGAAATCTATTAATTTTTATATAGGCCTATACATTAATGAATATATATATTAGATCAGAGACGTATATAACACAGTTATGGCTTTATACGTCTCCGATTAGATACATTAAAGTATCATTATCGGGTATAAGATATATTTGATAAAATGATTGCAATTACATGATCGGCATTCGGGGCAGAATCGGACTAAATTATATATATATTTATATTTATATTATTATATCTTTTTTATCGGGTACAAGATACGTCATTTGATAAAAGGATTGCAAAGAATTTAAAAAAAAGTATTGCATTGATATGGATCGGGTAAGAACGGTCGACGATTTACAGGAATGGACAGAAACGGGGCAGGATCGGACTTATTTATATATATTTATTGTATATATTTAATTATCCTTATCTGGTATAAGGTATATTTGATAAAAGAATTGCAATTACAGGAACGGGGCAGGATCGGACTAAATATATATATATATATATATATATTGCCAGGCCGAGGTTCCAATTTATGTCTCTGTTTTATTCTATAAAAAAGGGTTGTTCAGAGAATTATATATTACATATATAATAAATATGTATCTGAGTTATTTTCTCATTTATATATATGACATTGTTATTGCGATGTCATAACACCTGAAACATTGGAAATGACATTATGATAACTAAATTTTAATAACTTCATAACTTATACTCAACTCTTAATAAATAGCATGAATATATTTTGAGTGAATTAATTGGTGTTAATGTGTAGATTACAATCCCATCACGTCTACGATCTTAAAAAAAAGAAAATACGCAATTTTCCAACTCAAAAAAGGGACATCAATCTGAAAATTAAATATTATTCTATATGTAAATATAAGTTAATTGAAATACGTGTTTTACGTAAATAAATATTGAAGTCCATATGTTGGATTGTTAGGCCTTATCTGTTATAGAAAAACGATACTGTATATTAATTGTATATGTAAAGAAGAAAGAAACACGGTGAAACGCTTTAAGTTTCATTTTTTTTCAAAGGCCGATGTGGTCAAAACTGATTATCTAATTCCGTAATAGTAGACAATAGACTTCTTGTTCCAATGTTCAAGCTGGTTTTAGGAAAGGCTACTCTACAACTGAAAATATATTTATCCTTCATGCTTTAATATCTATATACGTTTCAAAAAGTAATTTTGGGGTTTGAAAATACCAATATGATTGAGAAATTACGTGTACAGTTTTGTTAAAGAATTTTAAACATACGTAGCTCCACAGCAAATATAATGGTATATGGTGAAACGGGTAGGTACTCGCTGGATATTGAAATTAAATCTAGAATGATAATGTTTTGGTATAAACTAATTACAGGTGAAAATAAATTGTCTAGTATAATGTACAAGCTTATGCTGAATTTACATAAAAATGATTTCGCTGATTTTAAATGGATTTCATATATCAAGAATCTATTCAATTGCACGGGACTAAGTTTATGTTTAAAATTAGATATTGTACACGGAATTAGATAAAGTCCGTGGTTATGCATTCATATAACTTGATGTTTTTAAAGACTTAAATTTGTTTAAATAAATTTGACGAGTATTTAGTAAGAGTAGATTTACTTTTCACGACCATGTATCTTTAGTATATATTGGAACAAATCTATATTTATACATATTATATCGATAGTTGTTATAAATAAAAAAAAATCCGTAGAATGTTCATGTACGTCAATACGTTTATAACGTTCATTGCATAATAAAATTATTTAAACATTTGTTCTAATTTAGTTGACTACAAGTAATTTTGGGGGAAATCCTCTATTTGCCAATTCTATTCAAAATTTATCTCCGTTTTCGTCGTCATTGCATATCCAATATATATATATATATATATATAGTTAAGTCAAGTCAAGTCAATTTTGTTTATTATAGTGTCATATATCACAATTACATCGTACAAGTATATAGTTACACAGTATAAACACATATAGTTACATAATTTATAATATCATAATTTTGTTAAGAACAGCTATTATACATAATACATTAATAAATTAAAACAAACTATCACATGTGCCAATCCAGAGAGCAGGTGATTGGGACAGCCCCTACCTAACAAACTCCTGGATTTTGTCCTTACATATTACATACTATAATAGTTAAAAGGTTTCTTTTATATTTACTGCCTTAAAACATGATGTCTTTAAAAAAACAATAACAATGGTGATAAATAAAATGAATAATTTCCTAGTTCTACATTGTAGTGAAATTTAGATTTCCAAGGGTTGGGGAGCCCCCTTCCAGCGAGGTCTGCTAAATTCACACTAACTAGTAGCTAATTATATTTAAACGGAAGATTATTTTCATAAAAAAATGTTTCTGATTGACACCTGGTATCATATTTAACAAATGCATTAAATAGAAAATGTAATTGTATATGATGTTCAGCCTAAAATGGCTTACAAGACACTGTTTAAAATTATAACTAATCACATAGACTGCTACGTCTTCTGTACATATTATATAAGTGGTTTGCAAGTGGAATTTGTAATTCCTCGGAAGACATTATAAAATTAAATTATAATATATATATTTACCTGTAACTGTGATTTAGATCACGGACTTAGATGTTAAATAAAATTGCAACATCACGGTATCTACCATGTATCTATAGAGATCACATTTACTTGAGATGGCCAACGAGTTGAATAAAGTATATGTGTATACAGTATCTCTTGGAGTCGAATCAAGTTTTCATGTCATTTAGTATTTTGCTTTCGGATGATCAAAGACGTATATATTACGTAATGTAATATATACGTCTCTGGATTGATGTATAAGAAGCGTAACGTAATTCCTTTTATTAATCTATTTAATTTTTACATTACTTAATGACAACCTACTCGTCTACCCTTCATAAGATTGGTCAGGGAACTATATATGGAAAAAATATCTAGCTTGTCCAAAACAGACTATCTGTGAGTTAATCAAGTAATTGAAAGGACTTCGAATCATATACAATCCATATACTTTTTGAATTTCGTAGTATTTGAGTATCTAATTTAACTGAAGGTTCTTCTCCAGCATTGTTATATAATTGATACTGTTATGTTTAACAAAATTGAATAACTAACATTTATGAAAAGTAATTTAAAATTTTCTAAATATTTCCTGCTAAATTTATATATATGATCTTAATAACACCATTTTATGACATGAATAGAATTAATATAGTATCATGTAATTGCAATTCTTTTATCAAATATATCTTATACCCGATAATGATACTTAAATGTATCTAATTAAATATATATATTCATCAATGTATATATAATAATTAATAGTTTTCTGCCCGTTCCTGTAAATCGTCGAACCCCTAGTCACGGCATTTCGGTGATGTTTTCTGCACCAAATCGCATATGTCCAGATAGGATGTGACATATAGAAGTAAATAACTTCAAGAAATGCGATATTTCACAGTAATAAAGAAGTATTGGGTTCATAACTGGATCGTATGGGGTAGTATTGGGTGGTATGGGGTAGTATTGGGTCATAGTCACGGCATCTCGGTGATGTTTTCGGCACCAAATCGCATATTTCCGGATAAAATATGGCAGATGGAAGTAAACAACGTCTACAAAGGTGATATTTCACAGTAATAAAGAAGTATTTGGTTCATAACTGGGTCGTATGGGGTAGTATTGGGTGGTATTGGGTAGTATTGGGTGGTATTGGGTAGTATTGGGTAGTATTGGGTAGTATTGGGTAGTATTGGGTAGTATTGGGTAGTATTGGGTAATTAGACGCGCCGCTCTGACACAAGCATTGATCCAAAACGCCGGTAAAACAAGATCATGACAACTACCAATCTCTTTATCGTCGATTTCGTGAAGACATAATTGACTGATGTCTGAGATGATTCCATTGCTCTGCTCCACTGCCGAGGCATCACCGGCTTTCAGGCACTTGTGGAGAGACCGCAGGTTGTTCTCCAGCAGGCTTGCCGCCATTTTAACCATACAAACCAAAACAATATCACGTGAGGGCAGTAAGGGGAGATAACCTGGAAATGTCTTATAATTTATACATTCGTGCAGTACGTACATAGCCTAACTGTTGACACATATATATATATGAACAAGTGCAGAACAGCAGTTACGACGAATTAAGTAAACGCCTTGGCAGCTACTATATACGAAATAGACGAACACTGGAAATATCAACGGCAAAAATACTGCTTTAGAGAAAAAAGAGCTGTGAACTACTTGTAAATGTAAAATACTAGTTAATTATCGGTATCATATAACGTTATGTATAGGAGAGACGGGGATGCCCCTGATATTTTGGGTCTTAAAAAATATTTTATTATTTTGAAGATCTCAGCAGCTCATTTGACTTAATGGAACATTCACCGATGGTGAAAAGTTGGTGTGGAAATTTATTTTAATGATAAAATGATTAAACGCTGGAGGTAAATTTAAGGAGGATAAGAAACAAAGACCTCACTTAATTCTTTCTCAAGCTGTTTCGCGAACATTTTGGTAAACCGAATTTTGCTAAAAAAACATAAAATAATTGTGAAATGCACTAATGTAACTGTTCCTGACTTGGAGCATGTATATTTTATAGTTAAAGTGTCAGGGTGTTTATGTGTTTAATTAGGCCTAAGGAATATGATAAATTGCCATATTCAATACAATATTAGCAGATTACGATAGTTTTTTGGGTGTTTTTTTTTTAAAAACGCCCATTACGCCCTCACCTGGACCCGCCCCTGCTATCAGCTTAGTTTATTTTCGCATTGGTTGTTAATTCAGTTGAAATATCAATTTGGGACACGTGCACATGGAAAGCCGTGACAGTGGCGGAAAAATCGGACGTTGCATGCTTTATGATGTCATAATAATGTTGATTCCGACGTGGACTTACTCCAGACTGTTCGATTACCCGAACATGCCCCGACCGAAAAAAATAACATATTATATAATTCTTAAAATACGGACGTATATATACGTGTTTGCCCTTTTATTATTATTTGATAAAGAACAGCATGAAATTCTCCTTTAAGTGTTATCACGGACTTAGATAATCTAATTCCGTGGTGTTATGTATAGATGTCTAGAGTGGCTTAATTAACTTGATAAAAATGGACCGAACTTTAAATTAACTTCCCCGGTGTCCCCTATAAATCCTGTATATAAAACAACTTCAACAAACATTCAAAGCATTTCCAAAATCTCAAATTCAAATTCGCCATCTGTTTGTTCATTAACTAACAGGCATCATATATTGCTCAGGATGTTTGAAATAATGTTCTTCAAATTTTTATTTGAGGAAGGGATGTATCAATGCCAGCCGAGCTATCGGAAGGCAGAATCTGAGCACTGCCTAGCTGCGTGGATAATCTAATGGAAAATGTCATACATAACGGTATTGGTTACTTAACTTTTTTAATCAGGTCTTATTTACATGGTGTGCATGTTATTAGTGATGGGTTTTTTAAACGGATATATGCTTTCGGTTGTAACCCCCTTTGGGTATATCAACTATGTCAGCTCATGAATAACTAATGGTTGTGCCATTCTTCTTTTTATTTACAGATTGCCGCGCTGCATTAACACGACCACAGCGTTGTATTGTGGTTTACCTGTCCTCCCCCTCCTCCCTGTTATATCGACTCGTGACATCCCGTCACCTATAACTCGTCCATCATTACCGCCACATCAACCATGACGAGTGTGCACGCAATGTCCACTTCAGTGGCACCAAGATGCAAACCCTTTGATGACTATATTTTATACACATAATGAACTGCGTGTATCAATCACCCCTGCTTCACCAATCATAGATATTTCAGGTTAAAATACACATTCGGACAAATAAATAACTTCTTATGAAAGTCCGTATTAATAAAAAAAATATTGACGGCGTACAAGCTAACTGATAGGGAGTCAAACTTTACAGTAAATTAAAGCAGCTGTTCACCTACGTTACTTCACGGGGCGATATCATTCTCTTAATTTGTTAGCGTGATATATAACAAGAAGTAGACACTCTAAAAGTATACTACATATGTCAATACAAGTACAATGTGTATTTATAAGACTGTAACATCACATAATAGGCATTTCTCAATATGAACGTTTCGAAATCGTTCTTTTAAATGTAAATGTTAAATGTTGATTTAATTTGTCTGCTGCATCAAGAGATCTATACAACTCAATGCCTATCTTATCAAAAGCGGTAAACTCTGTGTCACTTTATCTACAACAGATAAGCATCGGTGTAATTAAAAGAAATATAGCTCAGCGGCAATCTAATTACGAGATAGAGTGATCATAATAATTATCTAGTCAAAAGCTACATAATTACACGAAATAGCTAACTACCATTCTAATTACAAGAAATAAAGCACAGTGTCAATTTTTAAACATGACTTTCAGGTAAGTCCCGATTAACGGGATTATTGCAGGAGATACAGCAAAATGATGATGATCGAATAACACTGGAAAGCTCAGTATACTGATTTGATGATAAGGGATAGCTCGGACCCAATCTAATGACGAGGGATAGCTCGGAGTCACTCTAATGACGGGGGATAGCTCGGACCCACACTAATGACGAGGGATGGCTCGGATCCACTCTAATGACGAGAGATAGCTCGGACCCAATCTGATGACGAGGGATAGCACGGACACAATCTAATGACGAGGCATCGCTCGGACCCAATCTGATGACGAGGGATAGCTGGGACCCACTCTAAGGACGAGGGATAGCTCGAACCCACTCTAATGACTAGGGATAGCTTGGACCCACTCTAATGACAAGTGATAGCTCGGATCCAATCTAATGACGAGTGATAGCTAGGAGCCACTCTACGGACCCAATCTAATGTCGAGGGATAGCTCGGCGACACTCTAGTGACGAGGGATAGCTTGGACCCAATCTAATGGCGAGGGATAGCTCGGCGACACTCTAGTGACGAGGGATAGCTCGAACCCACTCTAATGACTAGGGATAGCTTGGACCCAATCTAATGTCGAGGGATAGCGCGGACCCACTCTAATGAGAGATACAGCAAAATGATGATGATCGAATAACACTGGAAAGCTCAGGATACTGATTTGATGATAAGGGATAGCTCGGACACAATCTAACGACGAGGGATAGCTCGGCGACACTCTAGTGACGAGGGATAGCTTGGACCCAATCTAATGGCGAGGGATAGCTCGGAACCACTCTAATAACAAGGGATAGCTCGTACCCACTCTAATGACTAGGGATAGCTTGGACCCAATCTAATGGCGAGGGATAGCTCGGTCCCACTCTAATGACAGGGGATAGCTCGGACCGACTCTAATGACGAGGGGTAGCTCGGAGCCACTCGAATGACGAGGAATAGCACGGAGACACTCTAGTGACGAGGGCTAGCTCGGACCCACTGTAATGACAATGGATAGCTCGGAACCACTCTAATGACAAGTGATAGCTCGGATCCAATCTAAGGACAAGGGATAGCTCAGACCCACTGTAATGACAAGGGATAGCGCGGTCCCACTCTAATGACGGGGGATAGCTCGGACCAACTCTAATGACGAGGCATAGCTTGGACCCACTCTAATGAGAGATACAGCAAAATGATGATAATCGAATAACACTGGGGTGCTCAGTATACTGATTTGATGATAAGGGAAAGCTCGGACCCAATCTAATGACAAGGGCTAGCTCGGACCCACTCAAATGACAAGGGATAGATCGGACCCACTCTAATGACGAGGGATAGCTCGGACCCACTCTAATGACGAGGGATAGCTTGGACCCACTCTAATGACAAGGGATAGCTCGGATCCAATCTAATGACAAGGGATAGCTCGGACCCACTCTAATGACAAGGGATAGCTCGGACCCACTCTAATGACGAGGGATAGCTCGGAGCCACTCTAATGAAAAGGGATAGCTCGGACCAACTCTAATGACGAGGGATAGCTCGGAGCCACTCTAATGACAAGGGGTAGCTCGGAGCCACTCTAATGACAAGGGATAGCTCGGACCCACTCTGATGACGAGGGATAGCTCGGACCCACTCTAATGACGAGGGATAGCTCGGACCCACTCTAATGACGAGGGATAGCTCGGAGCCACTCTAATGACGAGGGATAGCTCGGACCGACTCTAATGACGAGGGATAGCTCGGACCGACTCTAATGACAAGGGATAGCTCGGACCGACCCTAATGACGAGGGATAGCTCGGACCCACTCTAATGACAAGGGATAGCTCGGAGCCACTCTAATGACGAGGGATAGCTCGGACCCACTCTAATGACAAGGGATAGCTCGGACCCACTCTAATGACGAGGGATAGCTCGGACCCACTCTAATGACGAGGGATAGCTTGGAGCCACTCTAATGACAAGGGATAGCTCGGACCCACTCTGATGACCAGGGATAGCTCGGAGCCACTCTAATGACGAGGGATAGCTCGGACCCCCTCTGATGACCAGGGATAGCGCGGAGCCACTCTAATGACAAGGGATGGCCCGGAGCCACTCTAATGACGCGGGATAGCTCGGACGCACTCTAATGACGAGGGAAAGCTCGGAGCCACTCTAATGGCGAGGAATGGCCCGGAGCCACTCTAATGGCGAGGAATGGCCCGGAGCCACTCTAAGGACAAGGGATGGCTCGGGGCCACTCTAATGGCGAGGAATGGCCCGGAGCCACTCTAAGGACGAGGGATAGCCCGGAGCCACTCTAATGACGCGGGATAGCTCGGACGCACTCTAATGACGAGGGATAGCTCGGAGCCACTCTAATGACAAGGGATGGCTCGGAGCCACTCTAATGGCGAGGAATGGCTCGGAGCCACTCTAATGACGAGGGATAGCTAGGAGCCACTCTACTGACGAGGGATAGCTCGGAGCCACTCGAATGACGAGGGATAGCTCGGAGCTACTCTCATGACGAGGGATAGCTCGGAGGCACTCTAATGACGAGGGATGGCTAGGAGCCACT